TTCCCCAGCTAGCATGGATGGCTGGGGAATTCTGGGAGTTGAAGTCCACACATCTTAAAGTGGCCAAGGTTGAGAAACACTGCTTTGGACCTTCCACTCCTCCTTCCCCCATTTTAGCCCCTGGTTTCCTGGCTTTATTCAACATCTCATTTCATTCATGACTCTTCTCATGGGGCCTCTCCTCCACCATCTCACTGGCTCCCTAATTAAGACGTCGAGCCTGTCCCATCCCTCAATTTCCAAACATTACACCTCGGGAAGCGTCAAGAAGGCGACCAGCGGGCGGTCAACTCGATCCCATCTCCACCCCCGACAGACGCTTGCCTCGCCCCCAAATAACAGCATGAATCACCCGGCCGCGGCCCACCTATTCCCGGCCTGAGCTTGGGAAGGCGCCCAGCCAAGAGGAGGCGGAGGGAGAAAAGGTTCGGCGCCAATAAAAAGACGCGCGAGGGCTCCGAGGAGAACGCGCGCCGTTTGGGGCTCTCTCGCGGGTTTCTTGCTTGCCTTCAGCTCCGAATCATGACTAGCCCTTGCGTCTTCTTGGTGGGCTCGCTCCTGCTGCTCCTGGAGAGGACGTGTGCCCAGGAGACCCCACGGACAGGTAATCGGTGCTGGGGAGCCGTATTCGCTTTCTCGAAAGGAGCTGAAAAAGGGGGTCGCTGCGCTCAGGTTGGGTTTCGCTCTGCCCCGCGAATCTGAAGTTTTCGCTGGGTAAACACCGCTTCGCCGAGCCGCTGCACGTGGTTCTCCGCCTCGCCTCGCCCGCGCTGGAGCTTAGATTGTGGGGTTGCCGGTCGCCGGGGACAGGTTTGCCCCCGTGGGGTGCGCGCGCTGCGATGAACTCCCTTCAGGAGAGGCGTCAGGGAAGGAACCAGCGTGGCCCTAATCAGGGATGGTTTAAAACGAAAAACGGTTGGATCATGAACTATTCCTGTTTTAGGATACTTTATTCGGATATTCAGCAGCATTTAATGGCCACAGGGCGTTCTTCTAACCCTATAAACTAATTCTTTCTTGGTTGTTGGAGGCGCGACCTTATGTACATACCCCTCATCCTGGCACATCACTTATAGAAGGAATGGTAAAATATCATATTCTCAGGGAAGGAATTATAATGTAACTCATTCCATTCACCAAAGAGGAACATGTTCAGACGAACAGCCTGAAGTTAAATACTTTGGGGAACTAGCTAGCGAATGGGACATATTTTCTTCCAGAAATGTTTTAGGATGAGGTGCGAAGGCTGGGCTAAGGAATTCTAGATGGAATGCCTTCTCTCTCTCTCTTAAGGTTAGGGGATCGTATTTTTTAAATTTTATTATTTGACATTTCTTGAATCCTAGCTGTTGTGCTGTTGATGAAGTGTTTGCAATGTATGGGTTTTTTTTTTAAAGCATATAATTTTTTTCTTTCTTATTTTTTGTTCTCTGTACCTGAGATTTGTACCAAAGTTGCTTGTCTCACTTGTTTCTGTCTTTTTCTGGCAGGGAGTAAAGATATCTGTTTGCAGCCACCACTTAAAGGACCCTGTCGGGCCATACATTACAGGTGGCACTACGATAGATACTCGCAAACTTGCAAGGAGTTTACATATGGGGGCTGCCAAGGGAATGACAACAATTTCTTAAATGTGACAGAGTGTTCTGAAACGTGCAAAGGGATCAAAAGTACGTTATTCTTAAAATTTCACTTTGAAAAGCTAAGTGTGGAACTAATTAGATAAATTGTTTTTGCTGAAAAGTTCCTTTTGGTTACTTTTATCGTTCACATTGATTCATTTATTAGTTTGGTAGATACAAAATAACTAAGTCCAGTTTGAAATCTTATATGCATTCACCTAGAATTAAAGTACATTAAAATGAAGCACCTTTCTTTTGAGAAAACATGATTAGGAATAAACAATTAAGATGCATTTTATGCATATCTTAAATAAGATGCTTAGACCACACTATTCAGACTTGTTGAGCTATTTTGTTTCCCTCTTTGTATATTATTTATTATTTAAGCAATTGTGGGATTTTCTAAAATCTCTTATCAATTGTATGATCTAGGCTTGTCTGTCATATGTATCAATCCAGTTTTCCCCACTACAGTGCCATTCAGTTTTCTTGGACTACAGCATCTATTGTCCATGGTTAATAAGTCCAACACAACCAAAGGCTATTGAGTTGTAAGACAGCCAATAAAAGAAAAGCAATATATTTCCGTTCTGGATTTATGTTAGAGGAGAGGGTCCACATCTTCACCCACCCTCACTGACAGAAGTATGCATAATATGCATTGGGATAAACTTGCCAAAAAGCTGAAAATGTTGTTCTCCTTCCTCCTGTGCCATCACTGCTATGCCCCATACATTTTAAAGCATGCCCAACTATCTCCCCTGTTTCTTTCTGGTATCAAAAAAGTTACTTGCTTCTGCTCTAGGGTAAACTCTGAGAAGAGAAACTAAAGTGGTCAGTGGTATGAATAACAGGCCCTATGAGGAAAGGCTAAAGAAACATGATTCTGCATAGTTTGGAGAAGAAGAGGAGGCAAAACAGAAATGTGATAGTACTTTTTAAGTACCTGAGATTCCCACCTGGAAGAGGACATCAACTTCTCCAGTGCCAAACTGAGCAGGACAAAATTTAATGGGCATAATTACAGGAGGAACTTGTTGATGAAAAGAGAGTTTAGTAACCAAGTCAGTTATTCAGAGGGCTGATTGGGCTGTTCTTCCATGGAGATCTGAACGACTATCTGTTGGGGATGATTTGCAGGCCATCCAACATGTTATTTTACTTCTAAAATTTTATGCCTAAATTGTTCCAACTGATATGAAGGAAGTGTTGAGGAAGCAACAAGTTGCAGTGACTAATTGCATATTGATGTCTGTTGGGTCTCCTAAGTGAGTAGTTATGTTCTCTACCGCATGATAGAAAAGCTCATAGCAATGGTTTAATATTCAAAGGCTGCCTTGGATTTGTTTTTATCTTAGAAGTGCCAAAAATATGCAGGCTGGAAGCTGACCCAGGAATATGCCGAGGTTACATTGCAAAATATTTCTTCAACCTCAGATCGATGAGATGTGAGAAATTTTATTATGGAGGATGTTATGGAAACGAAAACCGATTTGACAGTGCAGCCTCCTGCATGGACTTCTGTTTGCCAAGAAGAAGTAATTAATATTTTATTACTAGGCAACCAACCTAGAAAGTATAAGAAGAGTCAGAAAACTGAGTTCCTTCCCTTAACGGACCTCTGTATGTGGCCACAGCAGAGCTGGTTTGCTCTGACTGTTCTAAAGGTTTCTGTAATAAATAAGATGATACAGGCTTATTGTTTCCTTCATCCTCTGTTAACATTTTGAATATTGCCATGGGTAGTGTAATGTATACCTCTGAAGAGCCTCTTTTCTAGATTTAGCCCTTCTGTTACCGCAAATAAATCCTGGCTTATATGTATTGAGAATGAGATAAAATTATTTCTTCTGTCAGCTAGGGCTCCCTATGCTTTAACAGGGTTTGAATGGCTTTGAATGGGGAAGTTCTGAAATATTATTTATCCAAACCTTTGCAAATGAAAGCGGCTTTCATGAGAAGGAAGGAATGTTTCCATCCCCACTTCCACTGTGTATCTGCTGATGCTGTCAGCATCACCTGTTATCAAGAAGCCGTAAACAAGTCTGTCCCATCCATCCATTGCCTTTTGAAAACATTGTGTTTTGTTTTTTGCCTCTGGAAATTTTGAGGGAAATAATCTATTTTCTTGAAATAAAGAGCTTTATTACTGTGCTATTGATGACCTCCATCTCTAAGAGCAACTTCTAGCTGCTTCTAGTCTTATCCTGAGCTGGTTTTGGCCCATACTATAGGTAACAAATGAACTTGAAGCCTACATTCTGAAATGTTAATTCTATCTATCTTTTTAGAAATCCCCTTCCCTCAAATCCAAACGTAACTTAGATTTTTTAAATTTTATGTCCAGCATACTGGTTTCTAAGATTCTTAGTGCTTTTCACAAGAGATAAGCAAAGCATTGGGAAAAGGTGTTTCACAAATGTATTAATGCAAAGAAAACTTTGCATTAACTTCAGAGCATTAAAGCAGTCACATCCTTTACAGGGGTAATGGCTGCTTCGAAAGCGATTGACAGTTGCCTCTATGTGTGTGTGCACAGACGCCCAGCCTTGCATTTAGTTTGCTTTTCTGGCAGTACCAGAGAAAGTGTATCTATGTACATGTGCATGCAAATAAACAATACAGGTTATAAAACATCTATACAAGCCTTCAAAGATCATGGCTTCTTTAACAGCTCTGTGAGGCATGTTTTGGTCAAACTGACATGCTTTGTGAATCATCTCTTTTGAATGCTTGCACAGCTGACTTTTTACCACTAGAAGTATTTTTCTCCCTCACATTTTCAGATATTTCTAGCAAATGAGCTGTATTAAGCTTACTTTTTACTATTTGGAAATACATCAGAAGTGTCTTTCCATATAAACCATCTGGAAGAATAGGAATTCCAGCTATTTCCTCCTTCCAAGAGAGATCCTGCAATTCTGTTTTTAAAAAAGTTTCATAACTACAGCTTTTCCCAGAATGAAGATGAAATAATTGGAAGAATTGTATGTGTTGCATTTAGCTAGCAGGACACAAGAAGGGAGAGTGACTGGAACTGGATTCTTAGCTTTACATCACGTACCCTCCTTTTGGCAGGTACAGTGTTGCAATGGAAGCTCCTCCCATTCTGTAGCGCGGGAATGTCACATGCGAATACAAACGGGGAAGAGGGGCGAGGCTTCAGTTGTGAAGCTGCAGTCAACATCTTGCAGATTTAGACAAACACATCCTACAGAGCCCATGGTTAATTAGTTAGCAAAAATAGACTCTGCTATTATAAAAAATATTGCCCAGGTCTAAAATGAGCTTTGTTGTCCTAACCCTGTATTCTGCTATTTAAAACATGTCATATACTAATGATATTTTTTTCTTCTTTCTTAAAGCTGCCCCTTCATTTTGTTATAGTCCAAAAGATGAAGGATCATGTTCAGCTTCAGTCCCTCGCTTTTATTACAATACTAAGACAAAAACATGTGAGAAGTTCAGCTACACTGGCTGTGGTGGGAACAATAACAACTTTACCACAGAAAAATCCTGCCTCAAGATCTGCAGGAGAAGTAGGCTAATTTCCTCTTGCTTTGGGGGATGGCCAGGGGAGGGCCAGCAAGCAGAGTGTTAGCTTTTCTGTGAATGTTCATGAATTACCTCCATACTAGTAAACCTGGATAATCTTTGGTATCTTAAATCACACACCCCCATTTGTAACTCTATTATTCCTACACTGGAAATGATTTTACTATATCACAGATGATGGGTATGCTTTGCCCACCGGTAGACAAGGGTGAAATCTGATTTTTCAATACCTGTATTGCTCACCCATTCCCCCATACTGGATTTTGGGACTGGGATTTTGGTATTGAAAGAAGGCAACAGGCAGCTGGACAGGAGTAGGGTATAAAGAATTGTGGTCCGGCTGAATTATCTGTGCCGTTATAAAAGGCTACATTGAAATTAGACACCCAAAAAATATTTGTGTGGTTCACTGGTTTGCATGGGAGAATACCAAATTTGGAATTTCTGCTAAGTTTCAATAAAGTTACAAGATTATTGTGATGCTATAAGGGTTATTTTGGGAATAATTTGGAGGAGAAAAGGAGTGATGCAAATGCTTTTAGACACTGACACTTGTGGCTGCAGTAACAAACGTGCAAAGTGGGAGCCCTATCAGAATTTGCTCTGGGCTTTGCTTGCTCAAGCCAGCTCTTGGCTTGTCCAGGCAGAATGAGAGTGAGTTTTAATAGTGATCCTGCTTTACATGTGTAAGCTCCCCCAGATATGCAAATCATCTCAAATTGCTTATGATCCCTCAGAGCAGTTGTGTCCAATATTTTAACTTCTAAATTAACGTGATCAAATGATTCTTGAAAGTGACTCAATCTCTATTTTATTCTTAACAGAAACAAGGAAGCAAATTTTGTGAGACCAAAGAAAATGGATGTATACAACAAATCTCTTCAGCAAATGAATGCCAGATATTTCCTAAATCTGAGAGTCTGAACTATATGAACTATTTGAATTCACTGGAAGCTATAATTTATTACTTTTATTGTATACAGAAAAATATGATCTTTTCTCAAATGTAGGAAATTACTATTGTGTTAACAAAACTGACCCTTTAGAATTGGGTTCTTTATACACACCAAGGTGCTCTGCTGAGAGCAGGAAATCTTGGCAACTAGCCAGTTAAAAGAGATTTTCTCTGTCAATTGCACTCTTTACAATTAAAAATTATTTATTATTATAGGACATTACATTGACATTATCTTTATCTTCCTGAATGCATTTATTGGCAGGGAGCAAAGCTTGTAGAAGGTCCCAGTTTTAATTCATTATATCTGCACTGAAGGCCCAGTACGTAACTATAGCCCCTTCTTCCCTTTTTTGTAGCCCTTCCTCAGTTGCTGTTGATTATGCATTGCACTGGTTGTAGCATATGGGTTTTAGTGGCCTGGCACGACTACTGTTCTGCTGGCGTGAGCCAGCCATTGGAGTGAGCAAAAGGAGAAAAAGCAACTCATTTCTAGCCTTGAAGGGCAACTGTGCTGTCATAAGGCCTGATGAGCTGACCTAGCTGCTAGTCAGGACTGGTGTGGTGAGATGTCGAGATAGCAGTCCCATTGGTCCAGCCTGGTATAAAGGTGTTTGGGACTAGAGACCTGGGAGGACATCCACCTCCTCAGATGCTGGGTGACATGCTGCTGGTCTAACCTAAAAATGGGAGAGAGAGAAAAGGAGAAGGAAAGAGAGAAAGGGGAGAAAAAGTCTGTGCATGGAATGAGTGGAGTGGCTGAAGAGAAAGGATGGAGAGAGAAGTTAAGTGCAGAGGAGTTGTTTGTTCCTAGTCAGAAAGGGAAAAAAAAGATCCACAGAGGAGGAAACCTGACACTGGGTAAACATCAGTATTCTGTTGCATATATCTGTTGTAAATCACCTACTGTGAATATCTTCACTGTATATAGTAAAAAGCAAAAAATGGTTCCACTGTCTTGTTTGTGTCAATTGCAAAACAATACAACTCCAGTTCAAAAAAGAACCCCATCACATTGTGACAGCGGTTGTCCTTTCTTCGAGGTTGGTTCCAGTTGAAGTTGGCAGAGGGGAGAAATCAAGCCCTAGGCCCATGGGGTTCCTCTGGGTTCCTATGAAACATCTGCATGAAGCTGAGTGAGCAAGGTTATCTGCTGGCATGGAATCAGATATCAATATGCAGATGATACCTGGTTGTACATCTTGACCTCTGATTGACCAAGTGATGCTGTTGAGACTCTATCCCAGTGTCTAGAGTTTGCTGTGGATGGCTGGAGAGACTCAGGCTCAAACCAGGAAGACTGGATGGGTGTGCATTCATGGGACCTCCATTTCTGGGGACCTTCCAACTTTAGCTCTTAATGGAGTTGCACTTACTTGGACAAAACTGGTGTGTAATTTGAGGGTCCTCCTTGACTCACAAATCTTGCTTGAAGACCAGGTAGCAGTTGTTGCAAGACAGCCTTGGCAGAAGTCCATCTTTTGTGCTAATTATACCCTTTCCTGGACTGGAAAGCCCCACTGATGGTCACTCATGCCATAGTTGAACCATTGTTAATGGTTGAACTATTGCAATGCACTGTACATGGAGCCACCTTTGAAGACAACTGGTAAGCTACAGCCGGTCCAGAATGAGGCCCTATGAGTGCTTTTGGGTACATCATAGTTCACCCAGGTAATATCTCTGCTCCATGAGCTGCACTAGTTGCCAGTCAGTTTCCAGGTAGAATTCAAGGTCAGGCTTGTTATCTATGAAGCTCTTCTTGCTCAAGGCCTGGTTATTTGCAGGACTGGCTCTCCAGTTATATCTCCCTGTCCTATCATATCTAGTAGAGCAGGCATGCTCCAGGTCCCATTGTTAAAATCATGGTGTCTTGTTGGACCTTGCCAACATGTCTTTTTTTTGTGGCTGACCATGTCCTGTGGGATAGAATGCTCCCAAAGCCCACATGTTGCCATTTAGGAAATCCCTTCAAAAGTGGCTTTTTCAGCAAGTCCTGGGACAGGGCGATTTGTGACTCTGCTGATACTGGAATTTGATAAACTGATAATTCTTGGGGTTTCTTCCTTGACAGTAATATATATTGTTTTTTGTTGTTAATTATTTTTCTACTTGTTTATTCTTTTAATATGTTGTATCCCCTCTAGAGTTGTGTGAGCAAATGAAGTGGCTTATAAATTGAACATATAAAAATATTTTCAGAAATAAAATTAAGTAGCATTCAAACTGGATAAAGGTAGAAGAGAGAGGGCCGAGGAGAGGAAACATTTGGTGTGCTTTAAGAAAGCCAATGAGGTATAGTAACTTAGGTGTTGGAAAGGACAGGGAGACCCAAGTTTAACTCTCCATCAAATCATAGGCCTCAAGTAAATTTGGGCTAATAATTCTCAGTACAAACTACTCCGTAATGTAATGGCATGTGGGAATGACCTTGGGAGACAGGAGGAAGAGCTGCAGACCAGACAATCATCATGCAAAAGGTATTTCAGCCCACAGAAGCAAAAGGGACATGGGAAGCATCTCAGAAGGGACCCTCCCTAGTTTTCTGGAAAGTAAAAGTAAAGGAGGGGAGAAATGCTTTCAGACTATTTATTTATTTATGCAATTTCTATAGCCGCCCATCTCAATCCAAGTGACTCTTGGATTGTAAGATCTTGTTACAATAAACATAGTATTAGTACTCTTGGTTTGTTCTTCTTGTCTGGACTACCTCAAAGGGCTGACACGTAGGCTCATTATGAGGATAAAACGAAGAGAGCTACCGTACCCATGTGCCTTGAGCTCCTAGAACTAAAGGTCAGATTATAAATCAAAGAAATTAAAAAAACTTTTTTTGTTCTAGCAACAACCACACCCTTTTCTAACTTGCCTTATGACCTTTAGCCTCTGGTGCATTCCACAAGACCTCTAGGGATACAGCTCTGTTCTCCCCAAAGTTCATGCATGTATTAGTTAAAAAACTTGGGCAGCAAGAAATGATTCTGCCTGGAGCCCCAGAGTTACTATCAGTATCATGACAGGAAGCTTCTCTTGTTTCCTGTCTGATTAGAACTGGAAGAGAAAACATTGCTAGCTCTGGCTTGTAAACATGAATTGGGGAGAGATAGCAACTGGGTTCATTCATCATGCTAAGCCATTTGATGGTATGTTTGATTTTGACTTAGTTGTGTGAAACCAGTCACTTTATTTTATTTAATTAACCATAGCTAAGCCAAAATATGAACCCGATCAGCCTGTGGAAGATGCTTGATACCTCTTTTGGCTGACAAAGATTCTTTATTTGGGGCTTTCCCCAACTTTGTAACATGTGAATGTAAATAGAATGGATTTGTTTAAATGTCCCTTTTTCTTTGTTGTACAGAAATTGTTTTATTCTGAGAAAATAACAATGATTGCACAAGTGAGGCAGGAAACATCAGCATCTTGGTTTTTAAAAAATGTTGCAGTTGTCAGTATTTTTTCCCTTGATCAGCTTAAGAGATTCCTAAGTAAATGGAGAATAAATGTAATTAAAACTCAAAACTAAATCTCAAGTTGATAGACTCAATTTTTATATGGAGTGTGAAGCTGGTTATTAATCAGAAATATGAGTTAGTTATGATGCTAATCTTATTGTTTATGTTCATTTCTGACAATGAAAACTGACTAGCAAACTTTCTTGAGGCAGCTGATAGGCTTCTTTAAGAGGTTTCCTTATTCAGCTGTTGCATTCTGCAGTATCTTTTGGTTTTGAGTAAGTTACAAATGGGATCATAATGATTTTATGCCTGCTAGACCATTCCAGTAGAGTCAAAGACCCCAGTACAATGCAGTGTGGCAGCAATGGGCTTGCCAACACATTTCCTTGCCACTCACAAAATTCCTCTTCTACCTAATTTTATTTTTTTTAGGTCCTTTTAATTAAGAAATGTGAAGCTACTATGCTAAAACAACCAGCCTCAAACAAAACTTTTACAGGTAGTCCTCGCTTAATGACCACAATTGGGACTGGCAACGTGGTTGCTAAGCGCCACAGTCACAAAGTGGAAAATCACTTGCCCACAATGGACTTACGACCTTACTTCCTCTTTAGTCATTAAGAGAAGCGATGTCACTAAGTGAAAAATCACATGATCACGATTACAATTTTACTTCTGCTTCTGTATTAACTCTGCTTGTCGCAAGCCAGTTGCAAAGTACGTGAATGGCAATAGTTGTAAATGCGCACTGGTTGCGAAGCACATGAATGGTGATCACATGACTGCGGGATGCTGCAATGGTTGTAAATGTGAGAATTGCTTGCAAAGTTATTTTTTTAGCACCATTATAACTTTGAACAGCCACTGAATGAGGCAGTTGGTAAGCGAGGACTACCTACAGGGCACTTCAGCCTAGGGCAAAGGCTCCAAGATTGTGCTTTCAAGGATTATTTTTTATTGTGTCCAACTACAACATAGTTTTTTTTTTTTTTTTAGTATCTCTTACTTTGGGGAGAGTTATACCACGCAGACTAGAAGTAATTTGACCCTAACCTGAAATTCCATTTTTGGACTTCCCAGGGATTGTTGATCCCCATCCATGTCCTAAGCAGTCCTGATCCTGTTTAGCTTCTGAGCCCAGCCAAGGTCAATCAGGTATTCCTCCCTGTGGTTTGATAATGCCTTTGGTCCTTGGGTAGATGGCAAATTCTTAGAAAATAAAAATGTGGATGGCAGCAAACCATAGCCTACCTTACTCTGTGTGTGTGTGCGTATATGCACGCACACGTGCATGTGGCTACACCCATCATGGCAACCATTTTATGAAGTGCCCATAACATGCACTAAAAATTCCAAATGTGCCCATCAGCCCCAAAATTTGATGCTTAAAAAGTGAACTGCTTAAAAAGTGGCATCACCAGTAATACTAAAAAATAGTTATGAAATCCCTGCCCCCCAAAAAAGACATTACCACTTAATCTTACAGAAGGCGTTTAGCATGCATTTATTAATTTATTCATATTCAATAAGATTTTGGTAATCTTACAATGGAACGATTATCTGTTCTTGACCTTTGCTCTTTCTTTTCTTCAAAATTTCATTTGTTAATTATCTTTGCATGTCTGCCAGGGTATAATTTGATCCATACAGTGTTTTGTAACATCTTACAGCATGTCCACGCTGTTAATAAAACACACTGAAATAACTGAAATTGCTTCTGATTTTAAGTATCAGAGTATTGAATAGGTGTTCTGTTACACTTTGTCTCCTTAATTTATTGTTCTGCAATCCATGTCTGTGCTTTGTACCCATCCTTGTACTGAATGTTATATGTCTGGTTCAGTAAGCAATTCCCAGAAAACTGCATACCACATAATGCACGGGAGAACTACTGAGTGGCGAACTGAAGGAGATTTCCTACCACTTGTATATTCCTTGGATTAGTTCTGCTGTATAATTTGATTGAAGCATTACTTGCCACTAGGAATGAAAAGATGACAATGGCCTTGGTTTGGATCACACCTGTGTGGACTCTCTATGTATGGGGATTCTAAAGAACCCCCTGGATTTCAGAGGAACTCCAGGAGCTAAAGCAGCACAAGAGACCCCCATAACATTGCTGGAGGAAGACAAAAGTGAATCTGATTGAGCAGAGATTCTTTCTTAGCCATTACCTTATAATGATAAGGGTAGCAAAACATAGTTATTTTTCTGCCCTAATTGCATCTGCAGAGAGAGGGTCAGTGGCCCTCTTTAAGGTGACTCAATCCCTCCTGGGTAAGGAGGGTCCAGAAGAACATTTACAGGTTGCTGTGAAGATTATTATAAGCATTTGTTGGATAAAGTTGCTCAGATTTACTCAAAGTTGGACTTTAGTTGTTCAGATTCTATAGAAATGCCCAAGTGTGCCTGTTGTCTGGTTATCCTGGAAGAGTTTGAATCTGATGGTCCTGGTGAAGTCAACAGGTCCTTGGAGCTTTGAATACAAACACCTGTGTTTTAGATCCTGATCCCGGCTGGTGAAAGTCTCCCGGGAGGTGACATGGTCCATGCGGTGGTTAATGTGTCTTTGTGGGAGGAGGTGGTGCTGCCTGCTGTGAAAGAAACAATTATCTTCCCTCTCCTGGAACAATGGAATCAGGCAATTTATGTCCTGTTGCTGCCAGGCCCAGCCCAAGAACAACGATGAAACATTCCAGGCAAGTACAGTTCCTTTATTTGCTTACATCTTATAGACAAAATCTTACTAAACTAAATCTACTATACTACAGCAACTAGTGAATATACCCTGGGAGATTCTAGGGAGTGCCTATCCTGAATCTCTTACTCTTCTCACGCTCCCCCTGCAGACTGTGTTGTCTTTTGCCTCCTTTCCCTTGCTGGAGTGCCACCCCTCCTTCCTGATAGCCTTGATCTCCCACAGGTGCCAACCTTACCTTTCTTAAGGGAAGGTTATTGAGATGGTGGTCAGTTTGCAGCTCTAGAGAGCCTTGGAGAAAACAGATTATCTGGGCACCTGGGCATCAGTCAGGATTCAAACCTGGTTATAGCACTCAGACACCATTGATCACACTTACTGATGATCTTTGGTGGGCTTGAGATGGGAGTAGTGCATTCTTCCTGGCCCTACTCTCAGCAGCTTTCAAAACTATAGATCATTATCTCTGGATTAGCTCATGTGATTGGGCGTGGGAGGCATGGTGTTACGATGGTTCTCCTCATTTCTCCAGGGCTGGTTACAGTTGATATTGATAGGTGGGGAGAGATCAAGCCTGAAGCTCCTGCTTTCTGGGGCTCCTCCAGAGCTCTACTATCTCCCTGTTCCTATTAACATCTACATGAAGCCTCTGGAGAGGTCATCCATCGACCAATTATACAGCTCTTTTCCAGGCTGACCAAGTGATGCCCTCAAGGGTTTTTTTTTGTTTTTTGTTTTTACCAGTGCTGGAGGTTGTGGAAGCCTCAATGGGGAAGAACAGCCTTCAGGTCAAAGTTGTGGGTTTTTTGATATCTCCTCCCCCACCAACTAGGACTGGAAACTTTCCATCTTTATCACTGAATATGGTGGCATTCTCCAAGACAGAGTTGGTGTGCAGATTGGGGACTTCCTGGACTTGTGGTTCTTGCTTGAAAAGCAGGTGGCAGCTGTGGCTGGGAGAGCATTTGCACAATTTCACCTTGTGCTCCAATTGTGTATGTTTCTGGATCAGGAGGCTCTAATCAAGGTAATCCATGCCTTAGTCATGTCCCAGTTGGATTATTATAATATGCTCTACATGTGGCTGCCCTGGAAGAACATTGGGAAGCTGGTCCAGAATGCAACAATGTGAGCAGTTTTGGGTCTTCCAGCTGCATAAGCTGCACTGGTTCCCATTGGGTTTCCAGATGCAATTCAAGGTGTCAGTTAACATCTATGAAGCCCTGCATGGCACAGGTTACTTGCAGGACTGTTTGATGGTTTCTGTTCCCCCACCAAAAGCAGCATAGTTGGCATACTCCAAGTTCTGTCTATTAGACCGTGTCTTCCTGTGGGACCTTATAGCACCTGCCCTGTGGAACATCATCCCCCTGGAGATCCTCATGGCCCCAGCCCTGTTGGCCTTTTGTTCCCACAAGCATCAGCTAAGAGGTTAAGTGAACCCCATTGGTTAGTTGATTTAGTTACTGTTGTGGTTCAAAGTGGAATGACTTTTGACCCAGGCATGTGTGATATTACTCTTTTTCCAGATTCCTATTTTTATAAATGGTGTTATTGTTTTGAGGGTTTTAACCCTCTGTATGCCACCTAGAGATACTTGGTGACTATATAAATTGTCTAAATAAATAAATGGCCACAAGCACAGGGGCTTTATTGAACAGAGCCAAAATGCACAAATAATTACCTAGCTCCTGAGATTTGAGTGCATAATAATTACTCTCCCAAAAGTTTAACTATAAGCAGCAGTCGGCTAATGGACAATTTATTTTTGTCCAGCATTTAGGAAACTAAAATAGTGGTCATTGTGTATTCAAGGCAAAACAATAAATCCTAATCCGATTATAGCCACTGCCACATTATGCACGCTGAACATGAATTAAAGCTTCAGCCAATTACTGGCTGACTTCAGTGCCTTGGGTTACTTGTTTGTTTTTTTACTAAATTGCATTAGTAAAACATTATACTATTGTTTGTTACAGAATATTAGACAAAACCAAAGCCATGCCTTATTAAAAGAGTATTAACAGGAATTAATCTTACCTAGCATCTGTTCTTGAGAATGTATAATTATTAAAAAAAACTTTGAGTTGAATATAATATTCCATGACTTATCCCTTCCCAGTGTACACTTTGAACCAGTTCAGCTTACTAATAACAATTTTCTTTGCTTGTTATTTATATTAGTCATAGAGACTCAGTATGGCTCCTAAAGAAAAATGCATATTGCCTTTTTACAATAACATACAATCTGCGGTAATACACTTGAACAAAACCAAGCTAAAAGCCTTATATTCCAACCCTATATCTACTTAGCTGGAAATAAACCTCAGGTTGGAGACCCAAATGAGAGCTCTGGAAACAATCTAATCCAGGTTGCTTTTCAAGTGTTCTATTCTGATTTGACAGAAGCAACATTAGAAAAAAGGGCCTTTGTTATTTCAATCTATTATGGAAAAACATAAATAGCTGCAGCCCACATTTTTTTTGTTTTTCACACATTCAGATGAAATTTGTAGGTAGGGTAGATTTTTATGAACAGAGGAAAAGAGTGCAATTTCATAGAAATGAATGCAATGTGACCCACAGAGAAAATTGTGATAGTTCTGTGCAAAAGAAGTAAAATTAGGCTATTTGTTGAAAAAAATCTTGAGAAAGATCAATATCATAATTGGTGTAGCAGTGCAAGCAAGTGGCTGGGCTCATAGCATTGCATTAAACCGTAATACGGTTTGGCTTAAGTTTAGTATCTTGAATGAATTCAGACACTGTGATTTGTAAAACATGGTATATGGCTTGGTAAGTTTTGTCAGTTCAGCCAGTGATGGTTTATTTAAGAAGCTATGATTAAACAAACCATTGCTTAGCACAATATATAAAGCAGGCTAGTAAGAACTACTGCCAACCTTGAAACACTTCATTGTTCTTGTGACATCTAAAACCATGCATTAATTATGGGACATACAGTATGTTCATGACTTGAGCAGGACTGCCACTCCCATCTCCCTCGTCTGCCTCCTAAGCTCCCTGGATTATCTCTGACCATCTATTCAGGATAGCCAAGCTATGGGATCCCCTTGAAGGGGGAAATATAAAAGATGTCATCTTGATTCAGTTCAACTTTAGCTGAACATGATGGCCTGTCTGAGTTTTGTTGTGTCCCTCCATTCTAAGTGTGAGATCTCAGAGTTGCATGTCATCCTCAAAAGCATTGGAAGCAGCCTCAGAGCACCTCCAAATGTTGCTACAGATTTAAAGGGCATCAAAAGAATTAGTAGCTTTTTTAAAAAAAAAAGTACAAGAAGGGTAGGAAAAGTTCACTGTTGCTGCATTTCTTTCTAAGTTGGGACCAAATGCTCCTGGGGAGTAAGACTTCCTGCGGCTATATTTACCCAATGGAGTAAGACTCAAAGCCCCCTCGATCCTAGGAATGATAGCTTTGTAAAAGTTAGAGCTGAGATCTCTCAGAAGAGGATAAAAGACTGTGGCATTGCAAGTAGAATCTGTAATGAAGACACAAGACAGCAGTGCTTTGGTTTAGTAAAGTAGCAATTTGAATTAATATTGAGCTTAAGGGGATCTGTGTTCAGATGGCTTTATTCTGTTCACTTCACTCCTTTCCTTCCAGTGTGATGCCCTGTGATAAGAGGCAATGTAGCCTTTTTTCTTTTCAGGTCTTTCCCTTGGTAAGCTCCCTTGGCCCAAGGTTCACAGCTGGCTCTGTGCATGCATCCTTAAGGCCAACATGTGTAAACAGATCAGATGGAGTTTCTACAATTCCAACATTTTTTCTTCTCCCTCCACCTTATTTTTTATTAGCTGCCTGGTGCTTGCCATGAATAGTTACACACTCCCAGATCAATGCATTGCAATGCATATGACTATCCATCTAAATGTGATCTTCCTACACGAGAAAAACAGGCTCACGCAGCGCTCTATAAAACGAGGAAGAAAATACCAAACATTAAGTATTAGGGTGGATCCCTCCATCTCTTTAGCCAATTTCATCAGATGTCTACAGCTTTCCTTAAACTGGGGCACTCAAGATATAGAGACTTCAATTCCCAGAATTCTCAGTAACAGCCACAGAGGAGCCAGTACGTTTTTTCCTCTGTTCCAGCTAAAATAGACTCTGCCATGAAGATGCAGCAGCTCCCATAAAGACATGTACATCATAGTCATGGGACACACTTGCAATGAATGCCCAAAACCTGTCTCCCAGTTTTCAGTACCTTTGAATCCCCCTGTGAAATGTATGTGACTATTGGCTAGAGTGGAGACTCTCCATGCTGGATGGTGGAGGATGATGGAATACACTAGACAAAACACAGCAAAGAGTCTACGGAGGTACTATATGATTCTACCTTCAGGCTGCATCATATGGAAGGCATCAGTCAGGAACAGTGAACTGTTAATTGTTTCGTTTACCTTCAAATGAGGGAAAGGAATGCCATCTGGTTCTTTTGCACGAGACATCAGGACACGTCAGAATTGTTCCTAGTGAAGATTAGTGCTTTCTTCTGCTATCCTCCAAGACAGTCACTCAGACCTGGTTCCTTGGACAGAGGCAACTATAATTGACCAATCTAAAGGCAGAATGATGAGAAATAAGGATGAATGAAGAGTTACAAAAGAAAAAGGAGCTTTCTGTTCTGGGCATTAATATTAAATGTTCGTGGCTTTATTGCTACATTGAGAAACAAAAACTGGAGAATACGTAACTCAAGGAAGAAGATAGACAAAGGAAATTGAGTCCACTTTGGAAAGATACAAAAGCAGCTAGACTATAGGGATCAAGAAAAGAAATGACTACACACATTCCCAAAATACTGAAGAGCAAGCGACCTCATGCTGGCCATCCATAAAAGCTATACCTGTAATTAACCATTGTAAACTAAAACCATTCAGCCACTGTAGGAGAAAGAATAATTATGTGTAAGATTAAAGTTTGCAACAATAGTTTTGACACTGGCAAATATTTGCAGGAGATACCTTTGGGAAGAAAGAATTGGGGTCAGAATAATTTTTGTCAAAAAAATTGCATAGGGAGAAAAGGATTAGAAATTTCCCCACAATTTGGTTGATTGCTTCTCCCCACCCTCCTGATTCTGTTGCTCTTAAGAAAATAATGGCCATTTGTAAACAGATGGTTTGAAGTGCTAGTTTTAATGTAAGGCACAATTTAACTCATTCAGAACCAAATTAAATATGGAGGCATAGTAGACTGATATTTTCTCAGTGGGCATTAATGATATTGTTGTTATAGCCCTTTGACTCAATCTTGACTCCTTGTGACTATGTGGACAGGTCCATACACTTTTCTTAGACACATTTTGGAAGTTCTTTCCCAGTATGTTCTTACTAGTGCAAAGAGAGAATGACTGGTCCAAAGTTACCTAGCTGATTTTTGTGCCTGAGGGAGGACTAGAACTCAGGTTTCCCTGAGTTTTCTCTGTTGTTTCTTTAACAGATTAACTAGTTGCTCCAAAGAAAAGCAAAAGGTATAGCTTCAGAAGTTGTCTCTACTAATGTGGTACCTCAATATCTTCTCCAGAAGAGGCAGAGCCAGGATGAAATGGGACTTCTTGGCAATGGGGAGATACTGCTCCTGTTTTAAACCTTTCTTTTGTGATTCCTGGCAACTGAGCCAGAAGTTAATCAGCTTGGCAGCTTGAAGCAGACACTAGTAGGAGACCACAGAAGGTTACCCTAAAGACTTTAAAGAAGTCTTTAAAGTACAAGAACAGCTGACAGATTAAATGTGGGGAAGCAGATCTGCTGTCTTGGAAAAGTACCTCTTTCCTTCCATTCCTTCTCTGCTTATAAACACAGATTATAAAAATGCTCAGTATTGTTCCATTGAAAGGAAAACATGATTACTTCCAGAAGGAAAGCTAAAAAGCATTGCATATCATTCCATTCCATATTAATTTTTTTCTGGTATCTCTATCATTAAGATTTTTTTTTCTGGTTAGAAAAAAAGGGTGGTAGATATATTGGGGATATATCAGGCTTGGCAATTGTACGATAAAAGTGCTTTATTTGGAAGCACTCCCACTACACGTGGGTTTATCCCTAGAATTTCTGAACACCGAGTGGTAGGCATGCAATTATCGGGGTGTTTCCCCAAATGAAAATGTAAATGCCCTCCAGGGCCAAGATCCACGAGAGATTTCCAAGGAGGAGGAGCTGAAAGCTACTGTGATCATCACAAGCTTTATTAAAGATAAATACTTACAGGAGTAAATATGTAATGCTCTCTGGGATGGACACCAGGTATGTATGCAATGTTCCACCATGACACGTCCATGCCAGGGGTGGGTTTGTAAAGCTTTTATACCAAACACATCGAGTATTCATTAACCCTGGGTGCACAATAAGCTGTCAATGAAGAATGCAAGAAACTAACTTATCAGCCTGAGAAATGCCCTCCCTGGGCACTCCTCAGTATCTCTGCACCTGGCATTACTCCCCAGGTATTCCCAGGCCATGCTATCCTTTTAATATTTTTCATACTAAAAGTCCATGCAGTGGTTAAACATGGTGTTAGCTTGGTTCAGAGTACAGAATCCACCCCTAGTATAAAAAACGAGGCATGCTACCTCTTATAATTTCACCAATAATTCTCCTGCTTCCCTCACAGCTGGCTAGGTGGACTAAATAATGTGGTGCTTGCCTAAAGAGGATTTCTATATGGCAATCCACTAGCTCTAGCTAGTGTTGTATATGTCTGCTTACTACACAATTGAATACAAAAAGCATACTAACAATATATACACATACATAATAAAAGTGAACATGCAACAATGATACAAAGAAACACCAACGCTATTTTTCCAACACGCACTCCCCATCCAAAAAATATTTTATTAAGCTCCCCCAGCCACTTCCAGGTACGTGATGGCATTGCTCTTGTAAGGCTGCAAGACCTGCTCAGCAAACGAACAAAAAAAGTGTAGCACTCCTTCCTCTTTGCACTAATAGTGCCCATCATTCTCCAGCCAGTATAGCCACTATAATCCAGTGGGTCTAAAAGATATACAGTGCATTCGGAAAGTATTCAGACCCCCTTC